GGTTTTTTATGCTGGTCGGAGAGATCTCTAACCATTGGAACAATGTCTTCACCCCACATGCTTCAGTAACGCCACTGTACCCTTGCCACTGTGCTGCTGCAATGCTGAGAACATAGATGTGCTCTGAGGCTGGAGTTTTGTAGATGAATGCACCTGACTGAGGCATATAAAATCCTGTTTAATTGGTTAAACATAGTGTTTAACAGGTTAACTGATTAAAGGGGTCAGGCAGGGGCTGTGGGTGGGGAGCTGCCCTTGCCCCCACTGACTAATTGGAACTGTAAGCCTCACTTGTTAAGGATAAGGCTTGCCAGTTAACCTTTCATATCCCTAATTGAGACTCCATGGCAACGGAAATGTCTGTTGCTGTCAAGACAGCACCAGTGGTTTCTGTGGAGGATTGGCTTGGGTCAGAAATGTAATGGGACCGTTTTGATATGACATGTCTCCTTTCTTCTGGTGTTGTTTTTAGTTCCAGTTCCAATTTCTTCTTTTAATTTGTGGGAAATTCTGCAAAAGCACATTTAGAAACCTTCTCAGGAAATGTGGTTCCTAGATCAGCTGGGTGAACCCCCTGGGAAGCTGCAGTTAGCTACATCACATGTGGAGCCAAACAGCTCCTTGTTAATAAGAGCAGCCAGACTGGGTCGGACCAAAGGTCCATCTAGCCCAGTATCCTGTCTTCCAGAAGTGGCCAATGCCAGGTGCCCCAGAGGGAATGAAGAGAACAGATAATCAGTAAGTGATCCCTCCCTTGCCACCCATTCCCAGCCTGACAAACAGAGGCTAGGGACACCATTCCTGCCCATCCTGGCTAATGAATTCATGGAGGATCAATGTTTATCTAGTTCTTTTTTTGAACCCTGTTAAAGTCCTGATCTTCCCAGCATCCTCTGGCAAGGAGTTCTACAGGCTGACTGTGTGTTGTGTGAAGAAATACTTCCTTTCATTTGTTTTTAAACCTGCTACCTATTAATGTCATTTGGTGACCCCTACTTCTTATGTTACAGGAACAAGTAGATACATTTCCCTTATTCATTTTCTCCGCACCAGTTATGATTTTACAAACCTCTATCATATCCCCCTTTAATCTCCTCTTTTCTTAGATGAAAAGTTGAAGTCTTTTTAATCTCTTTTCATATGACAGTCGTTCCAAACCCCTAATCATTTTTGTGCAGACATAAACAACAACAAAAACCAGGCATTTGTCCATCTAAATCTGTTGCCGGTTCCAGGAGCAGTGGCCCCAGGTCCAACCCTACTGGACTTTGGATTCATGAGCTGTAATAAGTTTTGATCCTCGGGCTTTTTTGGAATCAGCTTCCAGTAAATCCTCTTGTGAAGTATTTTATTCTCAGAGGGTTCAATGGGCAGAAGGAAGTTTTCCAAGCTAAAGGAACAGCTACTTCTAGTCTGCCTGTGTTCTGAATCTCCGGGTAAAGGATGTTAAATTCTGTATCTAGTTTGAACTGCTGGCCTGGTGGAAATGTTGTGGAAGTGATAAAATCTGAAGCTTCACTGCCTAGTCATTGAAGTACATAAGAGCTCAGCTCTGTGTTTCAGTAAACAGAGCTGTTCCTTCCAGCTTCACTTATCAGATCTGTGATCTCGGAAACAAACATTTCATTATATGTCGGTTTGTGAACTAGGCCAAATAAACTGTAAACTGCCGCTTTATAGAATCATTGAAATGTTGGACTGGAAGAGCCCTCAAGAAGTCGTCTAATCTAGCCCCCTGTGCTGAGATAGGACCAAGTAAACCTACCCTATTCCTGTATAAACTGTTCTTAGAATCCTTAAACTGCTTTGGAAGACTATTCCAGTAGTTAACTAGCCTTACAATGAGACCAGGTCTACATTAAAGGGGAAAGTTGAATCAAGATATGTTAATTACACAGCTGGAGTCGACATACATTGATTCGATTTTTTTTTCCCTGCTGTCCCCACAGTGGGAGGCTGATGGTAGCAAATGCGCCCGTTGGCTTCCCTTGTTGCCGGAAGTACTGGCTGCCAACAAGGGCACCCTCTGAGTTTGATTTACCAGGTCTTAACTAGACCCACTAACTTGAACTCCTGAAGATTGATTGCAGCAGCATCAGTCTTTTGCTTAATGAAGATATGGCCTCAAAGGTTTTCCTGATAACTAACCCAAATCTCCCTTGCTGCAGATGAAGTTGATTGTTCCTTGTCCTACTTTCAGTAGACAAAGACAACAATTGATTATAATCCTGTAAGATTTTGAAGATGTTAACAGGTCCCTTTTGAGTCTTCTTTACTCAAGACTAAACATACCGGCTGTGTCTAGACTGCATCCCTTTTTTGTAAAAGGGATGCAAATTAGACATATGGCAATTGCAAATAAAGCGGGGATTTCAATCCCCCCCGCTTCATTAGCATAAAAATGACTGCCGCTTTTTTCTGGCTCGGAGCTTTGCCGGAAAAAAGCGCCAGTCTAGATGCGGATCATTTTAAGAGGGATAAGGGATCTTTTGGAAAAGGCTTTATTTTCCGAAAGATCCGCGTCTAGACTGGCGCTTTTTTCTGGCAAAGCTCCGAGCCGGAAAAAAGCGGCAGCCATTTTTATGCTAATGAAGCGGGGGGGATTTAAATCCCCGCTTCATTTGCAATTGCGATATGTGTAATTTGCATCCCTTTTACGAAAAAGGGATGCAGTCTAGACACAGCCACCCGGTTTTTAAATCTGTTCTTCAGAAATCAGATTTTTTTTTTAAACCTTTTCTAATTTTATAGCATTTCTCTGAACACTGCAGTTTTTCTGCTTCTGTCTCAAAGTGTGGTACCCAAAACTGAAGGCCTCTTCAATGCTGAGTTTAGCTGAACAATTACCTCCTGTGTTTACATCTGATGCTCCTGTTGTCAAACCTCACAACGATATTAACCTTTTTTTGAAGCTGCATAATACTGATATTTTATGTTTACTTTGCCGTTCCCTGTAACCTCACAGGTCCTTTCTAGCAATACCACTGTCTAACCAGGTATTCCCATTTTGTAGTTGTGCGTTTGATTTTTTTTTCCTGCCTAAGTGTAGTATTTTGCACGTCTTTACTGATCTTGTTGATTTCAGACCAATTCTCCAATTTGTCAGGGTCATTTTGAATTCTAACCATCTCCTAAAGAGTGCTTGCAACTGTTCCCAGCTAGGTGTCATCCACAAATTTTTGAAGGACACTTTTTCCAAATTATTAATAACGTGTTGAATAGTATGGGGTACCCCACTAAAGCCCCACCAAGTCTGACAGCAAAACATTGATATTTACTCTTTGAGTATGGATTTTTCAACCAGTTGTGCACTCACCTGCAGTAATTCCATTTAGACCACACTTAATTTGCTTATGTCATATAGTCTTGTGTCAAAATATGAAGATATTTGTGTATCTGCAGAAAAAAAATGGGGGTGGGGATGGGGGAGAAAAAGCCCTTAGCCCTACATGCCTGGAAAGGAATGCAACATGATCTACTGTACTGCAAAATGACGATTTGTGTAGTAGTGTATGATTTAAACTTGCATAATAGCTGGTACTGCATTGTAAAGTGCACCTTGTGTCAAGGCTGAGATCTGGCACTCGTCATGTTGCTGTTGCTGAGGTGGGGCTGGCTTTCCACCAAGGACTCTGTACCGAGCTGGGTCAGGGTGGAGATAGACAAACCATGTAGTGAGTTGTACTTTGCTATAGATATTCCAGCAGATGTGGAAGTTCCTGAAGTAACATGTGTGTTTCTCTATCTTTTCTCTATATTCCTTGTCTGGCTGTAGACTTGGCAAAGATTCAGTAGGCAAGTATGCTTTGAAGGGGGGATTGGGCAATTTTAGGAGTGCAAAGGCCTTCTTAGGGCCTAGAGATACTGGGCAGCCCAGTGACAGAGCGAAGCTAGTGATGAGGTTGTGGAGGAAACAAATTGGTGCAGATGAGAGCAAAGGTGCATCAGTTATCAGTGCCTCAGGGTTCTTTTTCTGTAGCATCTGTTATGAACAGGCCAGTCTTGTGGCTTGACTGTCTTGCAGGAATCTTAAACAAGCCGCTTGAGCAATATTTTCTCTGTACTGTACCTTTTCCCTCCTTCCCTCTGTCTGTGTCACCTCTCCTCCCCTCCCCCCCACCTGCTGCCAGAAGCAGTGCTGTGGATCTGGAAAAGGGGGACAAGGATGGGGTAATGGGGCCGAGGCTGGGGTCAGGAGCAGGGCTGGAAACAGAGCTGAGGCTGGGGGTTGAGGCCAGCTGCAGCTGGCAGCTAGGTCCTCAGGTGCAGAGCCTGCAGCGGAGCTGGGTGGTGCTCTCTCCCTCTCTGCCTTCTGTGGGTTGGCTTGGGTCCCAGCTGGTCTGTTCCTTCTTTTTCCCTTACCTGGTCCCACAGTTTGGGGACCTGTGCTGTAATGGGTGCCCTGGTATAGTTCATACACTTGTTCTAAATGCTCACTCACCCCAGTGACACCTTTATCTACAATAGGAAAAGCAGTTTTTAGTACTCTGCAAGGATTCTCTCTTTTTTTTTTAAGTCATTTATTCTTAGATTTTGTTTCTTTTCCCATTGGTTCCTTCCCAGTTATTAGAATACAGAATCTGTGTAGCAGTTGGGAACTTCCATCTGCATCAACAGTTTTTTACCGTTACAGTAATGTGTGTACATATTCTTAAAATCCCCCAACAAAATGTTCCGGTTTTTTTTTCTTTCTTTAGAAACACTGAACTATGCTTGTGGGATTACACACATATTCTTAAAATCCTCCAACAAAATGTTCCTGTTTTTTTTTTTCTTTCTTTAGGAACACTGAACTATGCTTGTGGGATTACAGCCAGTATTTGGAAAGACCCTTTTAACCTTGTTATCCCATGAGGAATGCAACACACTTAAAATAAGAGCCTAGGTTTTTTTTTTCTGGGAACACTTGGCATATAGATTTTCTTTATATTTATCTCAGTGTGTAGGTATTTGATGCAGTGTTCCCTTGTTCTGAGTAAAGCTTTTGTTTTTTCCTTTAGGAATTGTTGGGTCTGAAGACATCAAACAGAATGGAAAAAATCTTGTAGTTAATCACAGCCAGAGCACTAACAGTGATGACAAAGTTACTCTGAGGTACAGTATATCTTACATCCTCTTTTACCAAAGGAGACACATGGCACCTGTGCTTTGTAAGTTCTAAATTCTTCCAGGTAAAGCCAGCAGCAGCCAGGGCCAGGTTCAATATCTAGGGGTTCCTCTCCATCCATAAAACACAGAATTGGCTCAAGCCCCCATCCAGTAACCTAGAGAATTGACACAACACCCCTGGGCACTTCTGAGAGGCAGTGCTTCCCCACTCGCAAGCACAGCGTCTGAGTGTAGAAAAGAAACTTTTAATGAAAGGGGAGGGAAGTAACGTGGCATTAATTTGGGAAGACACTGCAAACAGAGTTCATAACCAAACCGTGAGTAAAAGTCCCACCCCAAGTAGGTTGGTCAGTGTCCTTTTCCTCTCAGGTTCTTAAGTCCAGCAATGTAAATGTCACCTTCACATGCCCAACCCTTCTCTGCATCCCACTCATAGTTGCTGCACTTGGTCAGAGCATACCCAGAGTTCAGAAGTGTATCTGCAGAGTTCACCTCCCATCCTAAGCAGGGGGAGGAAAAGAGGTATCTTACTCAGTTTGTCACTCACCATGCACCTGCTGTCTGGTGCCGCCCTGCTGGCCGCTCATTACGTCTCTCCATCACTGCTCTGCTGCTTGTCATGCCACCACCACTCTGCTGGTTACTCATCACATCTCTCCACCACCAACCTGTTGGCTCTGTTACAGTCGGCTACCATCCACTCCTTGGCTGTGACCCCTGCCCATTAGGGATGTTAGCTATTGTGTAACTGAATAGTTGAAATGTTTGTGGTTACAGGACTATTTGATAGTCCCCACGGGTGCACTCCTGGCCCTACTCCCAAGGAGCCCCCTGACATCCCATGTCACTGCCTCTGTAGGCAGCAGTGGGGAGTGGCAGGCAGAGCCAGCCCACAAGGGGAGCCAGTTTAAAAACCATCGCCCCTGACAGATGGCCTGCAGTACTTTCTTCAGTACTCCTTCCTAGACAATCGCTTCCCATTCCTTATGTGTGAAACTGACTGTGCTTTCCTAAGTGGAGTACTTTGCATTTGTCCTTATTAAAATTCATTTTGTTCATCCTCAGACCATTTCTCCAGTTTGTCCAAATCATTTTGAATTATGACCCTATCCTCTAAAGCACTTGCAAATTTGGTATCATTTGCAAACTTAATAAGCGTACTTTCTATGCTATCATTTAAGTCGCTGATGAAGATATTTAACAGAACCAGTCTCAGAACAGAACTGGTCTCAAAACAGAACCCTACGGAACCCCTCTTGTTATGGCCGTCCATCATGATCGTGAACCATTAATAACTACTCTGAGAACGGTTATCCAGCCAGTTATGCACCCACCGTATAGTAGCCCCATATAAGTTGTATTTGCCTAGTTTATTGATAAGGTCATACGAAACCATATGAAATGCTTTATTAAAGTCCAGGTATACCATGTCCACTGCTTCTCCTGTATCCACAAGACTTGTTATCCATCAAAGAAAGCTATCAGATTGGTTTGACATGATTTGTTCTTTAAAAATCCATGCTGGCTGTTACCTATCACCTAATTATCTTCCAGATGACTTTCTTAACATAAGAAGAGAGGCACTTAAAGATGCCTATTTAGCTCTGTTCTTGGAACAGTGTGCGTGGGGGGTGAACAGATCAAACTGGTCCAAGCAAGGGAAGCCATATAGCTCCAGACCAGAAAAACCTTCCCTCATCCCTTTCTTCTATAGAGCTCTGAAAAATCAAGCCCCTGCATTTGCAAAAATTCTTTCTGCTAACTGAGCCATTACATTTGGAACAATGTAGTACTGTCCTATTTTTCTGTATTCACACACAACTACAAACATTGGTAACTGTAATTTAGCTGTCCCTGCATTTAATCCAAACATAGCTGGAGTTGGGTCACAAATTAATTTGATTACAATGAGCAAAATACCACTTCATCTGCTGAATATCTAATATACCCAAGCAAAGCAGAAGAACAAACTGTATTTACATAGATACACCCAAGGTTTCTCTCCCATAAGGTTTCTCTCCCATTCCAGCTAGCAGTAACGAAAGTTTTCCTTCCGATCCTGTTTACTTTATGAAGAATGGCATTGTGTATTTGGGGCTTTAGCCATTGCTGTCCTCCACAGTGCTTCCTTGCATACTAGTGGCAAATGACTCATCTTGCCAGACAGGAATGGGAATGTCTGCAGTTATTTGTAGCATGTCCAAAATGGTGTGGAGCAGTGGAAAACTGCTGACAGGTCATGTGTCTCAGGAGCAGGAAGACACAGTAAAACTTTCTGCCTTAACTTCCTGATTTTCATGTGGCTGAACTAAGAAGCTGTTGTGCATACCGGCGGCCATTGTGGTACACATCAGCACCACCTGTTGGCCAGCCTATATTTGCAAAGGGGGAGAGCCACTAGTATGCAGTGTTATAGCCATGTCAGTCCCTGATATTAGAGCAGAGTTTCTCAAACTATGGGTCAGGACCCAAATATGGGTCGCCATTACATTTCAAAAGGGTCGCCAGGTGTCTGTCCAGATGGCCCTTAAGGAGCCATTCACACATTTTTTGAATTGCCCTGGGTCACCAAGTCTTCCTAAATTGTCAAAATGGGTCCCCATCTGGAAAAGGTTGGGAACGGCTGTATTAGAGAGACAGGGTGGGTGAGGTAATATCAGACATTGTTCCGGTGAAAGATATGGCCCAACCGTCTTGTCTCTTTAATGGGGATTAATAGTAATTTTAGCCTGGCATTCCCACTTTTGACTCCCCAGATCGCTGCTTTATAACAAAAATAGAACGTCCCATCTACTGAAACGTTATCAAATACCATATAGTACTACCTAACCCCCCCACACACACACACCTTGCCCAGCCCCACACAGAAAGAACAGGGAGGGTGTTGTGCAAGGACTGGCCTTGGCTGAATTCAGCTTTCCATGCTTTTGCTAAGGTGGGGAGGGCTGGCTGGTATTCAACCGGACAGTCTGGTTTTTGGGCCCTCTGTCCGGTAAAAAAATTGAGAAAATACTGGACATGTCCAGCTGGGCGCTCAACAGAAGCCTGGCGGGGGGGAGTGGCTGGGAGGCAGGGCGCAATCGGCACTGGGAGCCTCTGGTTCCGTCTGATGTAGGAGTGATATCTTGGGGAGGAGGAGAAGCCCTGTCCATGCTCCTGAGCGCTATTCAAGCGCATTGTAGAGCCGTAGCTGGACTTGCTCGTGCTTCGCTGGGACCGTGTGCAGGACAGGCAGCGCCCTGGGATCTGCATGTGCCCAGGTCAGTCCCGCTCCCCCTGACCCTCTCCCGACCAGCCCCACTCTCCCCGACACCTGGCAAGCCCTCCTTCCTGCTGGCCGGTTCTCCTCCTCCTGATCTCCCCTGGGCAGCCCTGCTCCCCACGACCCTCCCCTCCTCCGACCAGCCCTGCTTCCCGCTGGGTGCCCCTTCCGATCTCCCCCGGCCAGCCCTGCTGCCCCCGACACTCCCACCCCCCAGCCAGCCCTGCTGCCCGTTTCTCCCTGCTCCCCTTCTGGCCGGTCCCTTCCCCCCCGACTCCCATCAAGTATTTTTTTCTGAAGCTACCTGGTAACCCTACTGGCTGGGTGGAGGGAGGCAGTGGGGGGGCAGGGAGAAGAGTTTCGCCTCCCCACCCCAGTAAGTGGGACACATCATTTAAATTCCATTAGAAACAGGGTGAGCAAGGCCTTGCCTAAACACACAGGCTGAACTCTTGTGTACAAGCAAGATCTGAGTCCTCTTGAGAAACACTCATTTCAGCCTTCTATCACTTACAAATGAGGTGATTAAACAGACTGACTTATGTGAAACAGGGTTTCAGTCATAGAAACTATCCTTTCTTTGGGGGATGGGGATTGTTATTTTCAGTTCTACATTGTGCGATGATGAGTGTGCGTTCTGACAAACTAAGTGTGTAAGTGACTTGTTTTGCTTTCTGTTAACAGGCAGAGTAAATCCAAGACAGATGTAAGTGAGATGGTGCGATCCAGCATGATAGTTTCAGACAAGGCTTGTAGCCTATCACTGCAGAAATTTGGGTTAAGAGATACGATAGTTAAATCTCAACTGGTAAAGAGAGAGGATTCCTACACCTCCCTCCAGAACTTCAGGTAACAGCCGGCCTTGGGATTATAATTTTAGGTGTAATAGCAAAATACATAAAGCTCATACATTTGTAATACATTCTGAAATCGGAAATTTGAGGGTGGTGGGGAATAGACTTCAGCCCTCGGTGTGAAACAGCCTTTGTGCATCGCTCCTCCATTTACACCAGAGGTGGGCAAAAGCCACTCGGCGGGCTGGATGCGGCCCGCCTAAGGCTTTGATCTGGCCTGTGTGTCTGTTCCAGGCCCCACCCCCAGTATATCGCCTGGGAGCCGGAGCCGCGCGAGCTCTATCAACTGCTTCTGCTTAGAGGGCTTGTGCCTTCCCCATGGCTGCCAGGCAATGTGTTGCCTGATAGGCATGGGGAAGGCCAAGCCCTTTAAATAAAAGCAGCTGAAATTGCTTGCGTGGCTCAGGCTCCCAGGCAATGCGCTAGTGGCACCAGAGCTGCAAGTCATTTTAACTGTTTCTGTTTAAAAGGTTTGCCTTAGCCCTTTAAATAGAAGTAATTAAAAGGGTTCACAGCTGCCACCCCACTGCTAGTGCATTCCCTGGGAGCTACGCGCGACCCCTTTCAACTGCTTCTGTTGAAAGGGCTTGCACCTTCCCCATGGCTGGCAGGCAACAGCCCCAGAGAAGGCGTGAGCCCTTTAAACAGAAGCAGTTGAAAGGGCTCATGGGTTCCTGGCTCCCAGGCAACATGCTAGCATGGGGCTGGAGCTGCGAGCCATTTAAAATGTAGGAATTGAAAGGGCTCACAGCTCCCATCTCCGGCTAACGTGATGTCTGGGAGTCGCAGGGGAGGTGTGAGCCCTTTCAACCCCTGCTATTCAAAGTCCCCGCCACTTCCAGGGCAGCCCATTACCACTTCAACATTTTTTGAAGTGGCCCCCACTCAAAAAATTATTGCCCATCCCTAATTTACACAGTTGTTGAGGAGCATGCACCTTGTTAAGCAAAGAATCTTTTTGTACATCTTATTCTCAGTCTTTTTTCAGAACTCACTTAAAATTGCTGTGTCTCCCTTTTCCCTGGACCCTTGTCTCTCCCTTGCTTCTGTTTGTTCTTTATTTCTGTAATGGTTTCTGTTTTGAGGAAAACAGTACATATGAAAGATGTTTAATATTGAAAACTTTATTTTGGTTAAAATGTTCTTAAACAAGCCATTCTGGGAATAAGAGTGAGTGAGAAAATTGTCCCAAACTATTACCAAACAACGTGGCTTGTAGCTCTTTTGTAAACTATATGCATACTTCCCATGCTGCAAATTCACCACTGTATAACACTCTGAAGGAAAGTTGCTTGGATTGCAGCTCCAGGATTTTGTTGAACCGAAGTTTCTCTGCAGGTTTTTTGTTGGAACGTACAATGTAAATGGCCAGTCACCCAAAGAGAGCCTCCGGCCTTGGCTGAGCCATGGCATCGAACCTCCGGATGTTTACTGTGTTGGGTGCGTATTTCTTTCCTGTTAGCACTTCTGGAAATATCTCTTGGGTCTGATGAATGTGCAGTATTATCCAGCCAAAGCTTTGCACATACACATTTAAAAGCGAGGACATTTGCATTATCTATAGTGGTCCTTATTCCAGAAGTGTGTGTTCTCCTTAGTGGCACAATGTACTTCAGATGCTTTAATGCCACACTGCGGTTAAGTCAGTTTTAATACTCAGAGTAACTTACTGGACTGCTAATGCACTGCTAAAATCAACTTAACTAGATTAAAATTCCAGTTTCAAAATCAATATATATGTTGCGCTCTAAGGCTGTGTCTAGACTACATCTCTTTCAAAAGAGGGATGTAAATGAGACACTTCGAACTGCAAATGAAGCAGGGATTTAAATATCCCACGCGTCATTTGGATAATCATTTCATGGCACTCTTTCAAAAAAGCGCCATTTCAAAAGTAAAACCATGGTCTAGACGTGGTTCTTTCGAAAACGGCAGGGGTTTTTTTTTCGAAAGATCCTGTAAACCTCAGGATCTTTCGAAAAAGCCTGCCGTTTTTGAAAGAACCACGTCTAGATCGCGGTTTTACTTTCAAAATAGCGCTTTTTCAAAAGCATGCCATGATGCGATTATGCAAAGGAAGTGTGGGATATTTAAATCCCCACTTTGTTTGCAATTTCAAAGTGTCTCATTTACATCCCTCTTTTGAAAGAGGAATGTAGTCTAGACACAGCCTAAATGTTTCTCTTCCCTGGTGGAAAAGGCTGGAGAGTAAGTCAAGTAAAGTGATTGCATCCATGTGTTTCTCCCTGTGATGCAGCTTCCAGGAACTTGATCTGAGTAAAGAAGCCTTCTTTTTCAATGACACACCAAAGGAGGAAGAATGGTTCAAAGCTGTAACTGATAGTCTTCACCCAGATGCCAGATATGCAAAGGTACATTTGGCTTGGGGATGGAGTTAGTTTTCAACCTTAAGCTAGTTTCCAGTCAGATGTTGTTTTTTGTTTGTTTTCCTTGGTTTGTTTCCAGCATGTCTCCTGAAGGTTTGGGCATCTGTGGGTTTTTGCCAGGGCAGCAATACTCAGGGTAGGTGGATTATAGCACTTTTTCTGCAAGGCTCCCAGACCTGGTCACATCCTCAACTGAAACATTCCCCTCAGCATTCTTAGTGAGAGCTAAGGACATTTGTGCTGCACGCTGTAAGTTAGAAAGGGACTTAATGGTGCAACCAGTCCAAGGAGAGCTCCCTCTTGTGCTGAAACGAATGGATAGAAAATACCTTGGTACTTGCCAATATCCACTCAGCAGCACCAAGCAGTGAACTGTCCTGCGGTAGGAATATTGTTTTTAGTTCGAGGTTGGTACCTGCTCCTTAAAATCCTTGCTTTCTTCTCACCTCCACTCCAGGCATGTACCTTCTCGGGGCTGCCTCTCCCCCAAGCAGTGTATTGAGCCACTTGCCCTGAGCAGGGCTAGTTACTCCTGTCCCGTGTTGTGCTGCCGGAGCACCTGTGTGTGTCAGGTGGGTGGCTCCCCAGAAATGCAGTGTTGGAGCATTAATGTTGTTGGTTGTTTATACTTTGACTTGAGAACAGGGTGGGGTAAGGCTGTCCCCTGAGAAACAGTCTTTGCTATGGTGGCTATGCCTTCGGCTTTCTCTTTCAGGTGAAGCTTATACGCCTTGTGGGGATGATGCTGCTGTTGTATGTGAAGGCAGACCATGCCCTGAACATCTCCGAAGTGGAAGCTGAGACAGTGGGAACTGGAATCATGGGGCGGATGGTAGGAATGCAGTGTGTACATGGGCAGGTGGGGGAGGTTGCCTTTGAGAGGACCCTGAACAGCCTATCAGTGTAAGAACATAAAAATAGCCAAAGGTCCACCCAGCCCAGCTTCCTGTCTTCTGACGGTGGCCGATGCCAGGTGCCCAGAGGGAATGAACAGAACAGGGAATCATCAAGTGATTCACCCCATCACCCATTCCCAGCTTCTGACAAACAGAGGCTTGGGACACCAGGCTGTTACCCTGGCCCTGAATCACAATGGGGGTTCTCGCAGCTAAAGGAGACATGGAGTCAGCTCTCTCTGTCAGGAAGACACAAGGTGTTCCCAGGGCTTGAAAGAAGGATGCAGAATTTTGTCTTTGGTGCCTGTCCAATTTATGTATAGTGCTGAGTTGGCTCTCGAGAGCTTGAAATTGGTCATGGGTTTTCCTAAATTAAATGTGCATAGAAATCAGCCTGGGCAGTACGTACCTGCCCAGAACGGAGTTCATTTCTCTGGCGGATTTCATGGGCTTTTAGAAGATCATGTGGACCACCTCTTTGCCCTTTGAACTTAACCTCCAATAATCCCCCAGATGCTACATGTTGAGGGCAGGGCCCCAAAAGCTACTTTGGTATCTTATAAAATAGTCTTTGTAATTTGTGTTGAAAGAGCCAGTTTGTTACTGGGCAGTTTTAATTACTTGCCAGAGCAGTCAACCAGCCTGCTCTTAATGGTATAATCTGCTGTCATACGAGCCCTGTCCTGAATTGCAAAATTGAATTCTGTGTACCCTTTGCTACTGTTTGCATGATGTACTGTGCTAATGTTGCTCTCCCTCGCATGGTGATGAGTGGTGCCAAGAGCTGGGCTGATACTCTCTGAGGTTTTGTGAAAATTCTGCTTATGGTTTTGAGCTTTTCTTTCTCCGCAAGCCAGACTGACTGTACCAGAATTCTCTGATTTATCCTGTTACACCAGTTGAGACACCAATTCACATAGTCCCAGAAAAACTCAAAACCAATCTCTCTTCTTGCCTTCTAGGGTAACAAAGGTGCAGTTGCTATTCGGTTCAAGTTCCACAACACCAGCGTGTGCATTGTGAACTCTCACCTCGCAGCTCATATGGAGGAGTACGAGCGGAGGAACCAGGACTTCAAGGACATCTGCTCTCGGATGCAGTTCTGCCAGTTGGATCCAAACTTGCCACCCCTTACTATAAGTAAACATGAGTATGTTTCCAAGGTTATAATCCATCAGATCACTACAGTTCACTGCTTGGCCTCTGGCTTGGATGGGACAAGTGAAGGGCTGTATCAATGTCTAGTTGCACTTCCTGGTGTAAGCAGTTCCTTGGCAGGAACTTGAGAGGTGCAGTTTGAGCACAGGCCATAGACCCAGGAATCTGTCAATTCTAGTCCCAGCTTTGAAAATGGCTTCCTATGTGGTTTGAATATGTCACTGTCTCACTTTCCCATATTTGTAAAATGGTACTAACTCAAACTTGCTTCCCCAGGGAATTGGGAGGGTTATTTTTATGGTGTTTTGGAAGATTAAAAGTACAGCTTGAACCTCTCTAGACCTTTAGGACCTGACCGGTCCCAAACCAGAGACTTTTCCGAACCACAGGAGGTCAATTTTATCTAGCAGCATTACCAACACTTCCTCTGCTTACTGGGCTCTTAGAAGAGTGCATAATTGGGTGCATAATTGGCTGGATAACCGTAGTCAGAGAGTTGTTGTTATTGGTGGCCTAAGGAGGACACTAGCCTGAGGAGGACAGGGCTGTGGGTTGGAGTCTCCACCCAGCAGCCCAATAAACAAACTTTATTGGCCTCTGGGGAAACTTGTTCACACCCATGATAAGTGGACATCCAGCTAACTAAAATCATACTGGACCACAGATGTTGCTGGACCAGAGAATGCCAGACTAGAGAGGTTTAAACTGCTCTGCTGCTGTCTCTTTTAGATTGATCCCAAAAGGAAGTTAGAAAATGCAGTAGGCAAAATATTTTACAACTTATAATATCTAGTATTTATGTAGGGCTCTCCTTCCATAGGTGTGATAGCACTTTGAGGGTAGGACGGTGTCATTACCCTCGTTTTACAAGTGGCGAAACTGAGATACAGGATGACAGTGACTTGTCATAGGTCATACAATGAGTCAGTAGAAGAGCTGGGAACAGTATTTGGGCGACGTGTTCCAGTCCTTCAGAGTGTCACATGCACATATACCCCTCTTCCAAATACGGGTAAATGTTAATTGCATTGGAATGCTAAAGGGGCTTAAAATTCAGATTTCTGGGCCCCTGGTGCAACAGCAGCTGGAAAGTGGGAGGCAGGTGATGGGACTGGCTGGGCAGGAAGCCTGAAGATACAATCAAAATGCTACTGCTGTGTCCCTGCTCTAGTGGCTTGGCATATCTAGCCCCTCACTTCTTGTCTTGGCAGTACTGAACCTTGGAAAGCTTGTCCTTGAGGAAATGCCCCATTCCAGGGAGCGAAGATGAGTTAACATGCCAGATTGGTTCTGGGAAGCTGCAGACATATGACTTGTGCCTTGCCAAATTTCCCAGGGATATCATAGAACACTAGAACTAGAAGGGACCTCGAGAGGCTATCCAGTCCAGTCCCCTGCCTTGACGGCAGGACCAAGCACGGTCTAGATCATGATATAGAGGCATTTTTTCTTCAGGAACTCTGAGTTTCCTTTATGTGCTTGTATCATGGCACTATTAGGGTCTGTCTACACTTGCACTTGTTTGACAAAACTTGTGTGACTGCTTTGTTGGCAGGAGCATGAGTGAACTCCCCTGGCAGGGGGTGGAAGTATTTTATCAGCAAAAGTGCCAACAAACAGCATTCACACATGCTGACTTTTAGCGACAAGGCTGTCTCGACATCGCCTTGTCACTAAAAGCTGCATTGTGTAAACATATGCGTAGCAATTAAGCATGTCTGCAACCTGCAGACAGAGCTGGATGCTAAGATAGTCCTGCTTGCACAGAGATGCGATGGAACTGTGCTTGGGATTGGCTGGCTCCTAAGTATTTCAGTGTAGAACTACTGTGCCATTGGTGCGTTGCTGCACATACGAATGATCTGGTGCAGCTGAGTTTCTGCAGAGTGGCCTGGGGCAGCAGTCTTGGCAGCAGTCTCAGGAAGGTGTGGTTTCCTCAGGCTTCCCCCTCACACATGACTGAGGTTGCCTGATTCTGAGCAGCGGGGTGAGATACAGGATGTTGTCTGGGACACAGCAGGCAGGGCACACAGTAAGAGACTATGCAGCCAGCAGGGCTTGTTTAGAGAGACTGTCAAACAGTGATTTCCCCCGTGTGTGCTGTCCTTACAGTGTTGTCTTGTGGCTGGGGGACCTCAACTACAGGCTAGAAGAGCTGGATGTGGAAAAGGTGAAGATGCTCATTGAAAAGAAGGCGTTTCGAGCTCTTTACAAACATGACCAGGTACAGACATGTGTTTCCAGAGGACGGGTGGGCCCCACATCAATGCGCCTAGGAAATTGACTCCTTTTTAGTGGAAGCTTATGAAACTCCCTGGTTTGCTCTGAAAATGACCTGCACACTAACCCTGACAGATTGCTACCCCTGGCTATCAGTGAGGACAGCACCAAGATGCATTGGGATTTGCTTTTTGGCTGGTTGGTTTGATGTCCATAAAATGATCAGAAATGACTGTTGTCCTTCTACATAAGAGTTTGAGCCAGGAGTAGTTACTCCCAGGACTCAGTTGGCCTCAGCATGCACTACATACACCAGGTCACCACCCATTCACCTCCTAAATAGCTGGTTGTGGGGCAGTGGTGCCACAGCCTGGCAAGAGGAAGTTGGCCCCCGAGGCACAGGATATAAGGGCTGCTCAGAGAAGTAGCATTGCCAAAAGAGAATGTGAAAGCTGCAAAACTAATCCAGCTACACTTCCGTGAATTTCTTGTCCAGTGGTTATCATGGTTAATATGGTTGCTCAGCCCCTCCTCTATGAAGGGTGGGTATAAGAGTGATTGTGCCCATGAACTCCTGACTACCACTTCCATCTAGAAAAAATATAAATAGTGAATTTATATTAGTGCTATGCTGAGGCCTACAAGAAGTGAATCAACAAGAAGCCGTGTGTGCTTTTTCACAATGGGAATCCGGGGGTTAAAATTCTTTCTGGCCTTATTACACAGGAGGTCAGATTATATAGTTGTATTAGTACCTCCTGTCCTGGAAATGTAAGACCGTGTGTAAAATATGATTATCACACTTCTAAGTCCTAACATTAGAAAAATCTGCTGCTTCCATTCCTGTGTCTGTGAAGAACTCCTTTGGAAATGGCAGCACTAGTTAGATTGTGTGCACGCAGATGGGGGGACGTTCTGTGCACATGCATGTACACACCTTTTTGTCACTTTCCCAGCATATGGTGCTTTTTTTCCCTCACTCGGGATTCTAGGAAGACTTATTTAAACAATTTAAGTTTTCATCTATTTGGCTTTTCCCTCTAATAGCTGAAGAGGCAGATGGACGAGAAGGCTGTCTTTGAAGGCTTTTCAGAGGGAGAGATTACGTTCCAGCCAACCTACAAATACGATACTGGCTGTGATGGCTGGGACACGAGGTATGCCATATGTAAGGACTCAGCCGTCATGCCATTCCTATCCATTAACTCCTGTAGAAGTTGTTTAAGGCAGTAAGAATGAGTCTGCAAGAGCTTTTAGACCTAACAGACCTGAGGAAGTTAAAGAATTTCGGAACGTATATTCCACTTTCAGTGTGTGCATGCCCAGTGCACTTGGGCTGAAAACTTTCGGTTAGCATTACCCATTGGGATGGGTCTCACACTCCGAGTTATACAGGGTACAAAGGTTAGAGGCTACCTGGACATCTCTCAGTTCTTTAGGCTTCCCATGGCTCCCAATTGGAGTTTGTAGTCATGCTGCACCACTAATGGTTATTAGCATAGCCTTTTTCTTTCTCTTTCACTTACCAATTGAGACAGCTTCTTTTGCCTCAATAATACTGGAGAACCAAGGAGCTGTTGGCTCTGACGGCAGGACCTCCGTGTCTGGCTTTCTATAAAGTTTCAGGAAGGCCTCATCTGAAATTGCTATCAGAAGTGGTGTTGGATTTTCATTTAAATAATAAATCTATGGATTTTCTGTCTGAAATGGCCCCTCATGAGAAGGTTACGTGCCTTGGACACGTCCAGAGCACTCTCATTTTGTATTAACGGAACAAAGCTGTGTCACATCAGAGAGAGTCACAAAGACTCAGAACAGATGTGATCACACAAACCTTCTTCTGTATCAGGACTTGTTATATGACTCAGCAAATATGACACCTCCAGCAAGAATTACTGCACGTTCTGCCAGGGCTTGGGTTACCTCAGAGGCTGAGAGAGGTTCCAATCATGGATACTTGCGGAGCAGCTACATGGTCCTCTTACACATACACACAGGTTTGCTCATAGCTATGCCATCATCAAAGCATCCCAGAGGTGATGCGGACTTTGGAAAGAGTCTGTCAGTGTTTCAGTTGAAGAACATTGCTTGGGTATCACTTAAAATGGTATGTACATGGATATAAGGCAAGTGCTTGAAGAAGCCGGCATCTGTAGAGTAGCTGTGGTTCTTCGAGATATATTTATATTTGTATAGCATATTTTCCATTACCCTGCCTTTGATTCCTGCTACTTTGGATAACAGGAAGATTACGGTGCAAAGCAACAGTGGGTGGGCCAAGGCAGCCCTGTCCTTCATGCATACTTTTTGATATTCAAGGTATTTGCACCATCCCAATGAATGGTACTGGACAAAAGTGCTACTAGACACTCTGATTGAAGTGTCTGGAAATGCAAACAAACTAAAGTGGAATGTGTGTGTACAACACATTTCGAAGAATTGCAGTTACAGTACACGAGAGTAACCATTTCTTTGAGTCCAGAGCCAAGGCCAATGTCTCAGACTTTCTTCCTTGGACACAGTTTGGAAGATTTCGAATCCCATCACTTGGTTTAGGGCAAGGTTCCGTTTCAGCTGCGCGGTAGCACAGCCCTGCAGCTGCTTAATGAGCGAATCTCTCCCAGACAGTAAGGAGAGGATGTGTCCCTCCTGGCTCAGAGATTCGCTGCTCTGTCCTCAGCATGGAGCTGCTGCTGTAGTTCAATGAGATGTGTCACTCCCTCAGCAGGCAGCTTCATGTGCGAAGCCCTGAGCCCCTGGCTGGGCAGGGCTTATTAAGGAGCTACAGAGCTGTGTTACTGCACAGCTTAGGGGGGAACCTTGGTTTAGGGACATATGCCCTCTCTGCTCTAACTCTGTTTGTTGGATATTCCCTACCCTCTGCTAGGAATAAACCCTTTCATCTCCTTACATTGGAAGAAATTTCAAAGCTATCATTTTTCTTTTTTTCAAACAGAATTTTTGGAGCTCTTTTATTTGCTGATGCCCAGTACAATCATGCCTGGCGTGGCTTGACTGGTCACAGAGTGCTTTTTTACAGCAGATACCTATGTGCATCCCCCAAAAGACTGCTGGATGCATATATTCTTCATGTATTGCCCAACCATTCTGTGCGGCGCTGTCCTGGCAGGATTGTCAGTCAGAATGCTTGGATCTGCTCAGTAGTGTTAAAGGAGACATTTCAAGAGGAAAATTTAATTTTAAAACTGGGTGCTTTCTTGTTTTTTCCAAAGTCTCTCCAGTCTGAAACAATTCAGGATAGTCACCAAATGCTGCTTTTTATATAGTGTTGAGGAGAGAAAAATATACCCTGCTCCTCTTAACAAGAACAAAGGTGAATGAGGGTACAGAAATACAGAGGCAGACACATCACCCTCTGTAGCTTTTCTCTGAGAATGTGTTGGAAACAAACTGCGGGTCCTAGTAGAGTACCACCTTAGTCTCTGCCACTGTTCCTGGCCAAGGCCTGCTCTGCTTTGCACTGTTACTCCCCCTAGATTGTCCTCTGGGAAAGCTTTAATTTAATTGTAGCCTCCTGTTTTAGTGAGAAGTGTCGTGCCCCAGCATGGTGTGATCGGATCCTCTGGAAAGGAAAGAATATTTTTCAGCTCAGCTATCGCAGCCACATGGCTGTGAAGATCAGTGACCATAAGCCAGTGAGCTCCATGTTTGATATTAAGGTAGGTGCACCATTATTCATAGTAGTAACAGTGCTAACCCTCTCCCGAAGGTAGTCACAGTGGCGAGATTTAATTCCTTTCTTTTCTTATAAGCTATTGCTCTGTGTGTGTGTGTTTCTCATAGCCTGGTGCTGATGATAATGCCCTGAGATGGGACAATTGTTCTCAGTAAAACACAGGTGCAACTATGAACCTGTTGCTCTTGGCAACCATACAGGTGAGCTTATCCATGAGCAGAAGTGGTTCATGAATGTCAGCTTATGCTTTATTTCCTCCTGCTTTTAATCCATCTTCCCCTGGAAACTGTCAGCATTTGCATCAGCTGACAGGAGTGTCATTCACTGCTAGACTTGAACAAACTGATCCTAGTGCAGGCTGGCTGATTTATCTGCCAGGGAGAGCAGCCTCCCACAAAGCCAGAAGCCTGCCCAGCAATAAGCAAATGTTGGATAAGGGACACTGGTCTATTTTGTTCAACTTCATCCTTTGGTAAAGGCTTGGAGACTGGTTTTAACTATTTTAGTAATAAATCTGCATAATTTTTCCATGTGTTTTACCTGTGCTTCAGTATTCCCATCGTCTTTAAAATCACGTTGCTCCATATGCGTCCAACTGTCACAGCTGTCTTGCAGAGGCACAGTAAATACCTGTTGGTAAGGTGTGTGTCCCTTTCAGGTGAAGGTTGTGAATGAGGAGCTCTACCGAAAAGCCTTTGAAGAAATAGTGCGCTCATTGGATAAGATGGAGAATGCCAGCATCCCATCAGTGATCCTGTCCCAGAGGGAGGTAGGACTTGTTCCCATACTTCCCCTTCCAGGGCTATCCACTCAAGGGGGAAATGAATCCTAGAGCCAAAAGGTATCCAATGTAATTGTTAGCACAAGGACTGCAAATCAGGACTCATAAGGTCTATTCCTGGGAAGTAGAATAGCTAGAGAAATAAGCAATGGACTGGCAATCAGAAGCTCCTTAGTTCTAATTCTGGGTTTATCACAGAGTCATGGTGAGGCCCAAGGCAAGTCAGCCACCCTTTGCCCCCCTGTAATGCGGAGGAGAATCCTGCCCAGAGTGTAAAGCACTTGGTACCAGTGAGTGCAAAGTAGAGTGCTCAGTGTTTTGTTTACTGAATTATAAAATCCTGCTGCTTACACAGATGTTCCACAGGTGCTGGGAACAGATACTTTCCATTAAAAAACCCAGATGGAACCACACTTGCACTACCCAGCTGTGCCAAGGTGGGAATAACTGTATCACTCACTCGAACTTGTTCTTAAAAACATAAAACCTAATCAGCCCCAAACTCCAGAGACCTTTGGAGCCTGATCTCTGTGTAGAGACTGATCTTGTTTGTTGTGTTGGGTACCAGAAAATCAGTTCAAATAGAGCATTTAGGATCCCCTGCATAGCTCAGGCTTCAGTAGAGTTACACCAACAATGAATTTGTCCTACAAGGCTGATTGGCACATGTGACCTGGGTTCGTAGGAAATGTACAGCCTGCACAGACATAATCTCAGGTAACCTCTGGAGCTGGGTGTTTAATGTTCAGGCATGGCAGACATCTCATTAACAAATGATTAAATGTTTGAGGCACATGGCTGTTCCAGGGGAAGACCTTTCCCTTCTCTTTGGGGAAGTTGGCACTTGTGCCGGCTCTTGATGGTGATGGAAAAGCAGGAGATGGTGACACTGGCACTATTTGTTTCTAGTTCTCATTCAGGGATGTGAAGTACATGCAGCTACAGGTGAAGACCTTTACGATCCGAAATGAACAAGTGCCTTGCCAATTTGAATTCATCAACAAACTGGATGAAGACACCTACTGCAAAGAGTGGCTGATTGCAAACCCCAGGAAGGGCTTCCTGTTACCAGGTGACTGACTCTTCCAGAGGATTCTGCTTCTATTCATCCCATTGTAATAAACCAGCATCTGGCTTGTTCCCCTTTTGGTCTCCTTAGGGATGTCAGTGTGTAGATGACTACACGATTTACCAATAAGCCTAGGCTGAGCAGTTAATCCTCTTGACTACACACATATCCCTCCCTCCCCCTGCTACCTCTGTATCAGAGGCAGCAAGGGGGGAGGAGGTGGGAATTGGTGCCTGTGGAGAGCCGGCTTTAAGGCTCCCCACAGGCACCTGATCTGCCTACCCTCCCCACCCTCACTGCTGCCTCTGATAGAGAGGCAGCAGCGTGGAGGGTGAGGGAGATAGGTGGGAGCTGATATGAGTGGGGAGCTGGGTTTTAAGCCAGCTCGCCACATGTGCCAGGTCTGCAGACCCGCGTGCTCCCCTTACTGCTTCCTACAGACACAGTGGTGGGGAGAGAGGCAGGAGCTGGTACTGGGGAGAGCCAGCTGCCCCCAGCACCAGCTCTATGGAGCTGCCTCCTCCCTCATGCTGCTGTCTCTATCAGCGCAAGGGTAGAGGTAGGGGAGGCTGCTGTGAAGTAGCCTCTGTCCATGGGGAGTCCAAAGTCCCTGCGGACAGGGGCTGCTCCAGCATCTCATGGTGCTGTCTCTGTCTGCAGCAAACATGGACCTGCCATGGACAGAGGCTGCTCCACAGCAGCAGTCCCTGTCCACGGGGAGCTCAGACGCCCCACAGACAGGGCTGCTGCTACTCTGTGTTGCTGCCTCTGATACAGAAGCAGCAACACAGGGTGGCACACAGCCGGTCTGCGCGGGGAGCTGGTTTTCAAACCAGCCTCTTTCGCAGACTGGCTCCCACCTGCCTTCCCACGCTGCTGCCTCTGATACAGAGGCAGCAGCGTGGGATGACAGGGGGCTCCCCAGGAGTGGGGCTGGGAGCACACTGCCCCTAGAGACTATCGAATAGTCATGTAACTGCTAAAATTCGATGTGGTTACATGACTATTCAATTACACACTAACATACATCCTTAGTTCTCCTTTCTGTTTAGAGTCTGCCATGGTCCCTGTGTTAATCTGCCATTGGACAGGACTTGTCAGTTTCATGACTGAATTTAATGAGCATAAACAACTAGGAATCCTGTGGCACCTTAAAGACTAACAGATATTTTTGGGCATAAGCTTTTGTAGGTGAAAACCACTTTGTCAGAGGCATGGAGTGGAAATCACAGAGATAGGGATATATAGATCTAGATGTAGATCTAGATATAGATATGTTGCCTTATAGCAAAAGAAGGAAGCTACTTATCAAGTGTAGGACCAGAGTTAAGGGAGCCAGTTCAGTCAGGGTGAATGGCTCGCTTCCAGCAGTTAATGGCGAGATGTGAATATCAAAAGAGGGAAAATTGCCTTTGTAGTGAGAGAACCATTCTAAGTTCTTACTCAGTCCTAATTTGATTCTTAAATTTGCAAATAAGAAACAGTAGAACTGCAGTTCTCTGTAGTCTGGTTTTGATTTTTGTAGAAAGATGGCTACTTCTAAATCTGAGTGTCCAGGGAGGTTAAAGTATTCTCCTACTGGTTTTTGTATGTTAGCTTTCTTTGGTGTCTGATTTGTGTCCATTTATCCTTTGGTGCAGAGACTGTCTGTCTGGTTTGGCTATTATATGTGGCAGAAGGGCATTGCTGGCCCATGGTGGCATATATCACATTTGTAGATGTGCAAATGGATGAGCCCTTGATGGTGTGGCTGATGTGGTTAGGTCCTGTGATGCTGTCACTTGTATAGGTATGTGAGGTTTACTGAGCATATGTTTATCTCCTGCAGATTCTGAAATGACTATCGAATTGGAACTATTTGTTAATAAATCAACAGCTACACGCTTGAACTCTGGGGAAGAGAAACTCGAAGACATTCTGATTTTACACCTTAACGAGGGGAAGGATTATTTCCTTTCTGTGACGGGAAATTACCTGCCCAGCTGCTTTGGATCTCCAATCCAGACACTGTGTTACATGAGAGAACCTATCCAGGATATGTCAGCAGAGTCCATTCGAGAACTGGTACGTTAACGAGGGAGCAGAAAATCTTTGGGAAGCTTGCCTTTCTAAGCCCAACAGAACCCTCACTTAGTGGCAGGCTGTTAAATCTCTGGCAGCCCCCTCATTGCATAGTGTTAATAAGCATCCTCCCCGTTTCCTTTTATTGCTCCTATAGGATTATCTCCAGTAATCACTGCTGCTAGGGCTGGCTTGGTTTGCAACTTCTGATCTTTGATGCCGTGTATTCACACATCACCTGGGCTCTTTGAGCTCTCAAAGTTCCATGCAGAATGTGGAAAAAAAATTAGATCCTATCTGTTCTGCTGGGGGCATTAAAGATCCCAGGGTGCTTTTGCTATGAGGAGAGATTTACCTCGGTGTCTGTGGCTTTCACCCAATAGGGGTATGTTTGGTGCCTGTTTTTATTTCAATTCGTTGGTGCCATATGTGGGTTTTTTAAGTCTTGGAAGGGCAGCCATGTTAGCCTGTAACTTTAAGCTGCCAAAGGACCATCATGAGCTTTTGTGGCAAAACCCATTTCACCAGATGAACTGGAGAGGGATCACAGGAACCCAGAATTTATAACAGTGAAAGAAGGGGGGGGAAGTACCCATCAATTGTAGCACCAGTACTTATGAGGCTAATTAAGAGGGTTGGAAGTGTCTCATACTTAGTTTTTGATGAAAATAAGGTGTTAAATGCAGGGAAGACTGGCTTTATAATGTGACATCCTGTTAATATCTTTGTGGGGGGGATTTGGGTTTTTTTTTTGTTTTTTGTTTTTTTGTATCTGTATGTGAAGCAGTGTGTCATCCTTCTAGGTGGTGGTACTATGTAAGTGTGCTTATTGTATTAGTGTATATTCAGATCCATTGGTGAGGCTTCTGCTCTGTAATGTTCCTTAACTCTAACACCCCTGTTTCTTGCTCAGAGAGCTTTGTAGAATTAAATAAGAGTCTGACATGCTCCTTTACAGACCCTACTTCCACTTCAAATGAGTGATGACATTTTTCGGGATGAGAAGCCCCTGGACATCCCCAAAGAGCTGTGGATGTTGGTGGATCATCTGTACCGCAATGCTTCCCACCAGGTAGGCAATGTCAGCATTTAAGAAACTGTCCTCTGTTCTGCCGAACATGTAGCTGAGTTTTGAAGAACATTGTGAACAGCTTTTGTTGGCGCTAGCAGCATGGACATTAGCCAGAAGTGGGAAGAGTTCCTTCTCTCAAGAGTAAAGGGGATGTGAAGGACACTCGTTTGACAAGAGGTCTGAGCACACTCAGTGCATTTGGGAAGAGGGGGCGAAGGAGACTAGCTTCATGTGAAGGTTCATAATGCAGATCAGCAGCTGTTTGCTTTGGCTTTTTCATACTGTGATACGATAGCCTCGGCTAGAACTGTTGACAGTGTTCTGCACATCAGTAGGCACCACATCTGGAAAAATTTTCACAACATTTTGTACACCTATTTCTGGTAAAATGTGGGTCACGTGGTTACAGTGACAACAGTGTATAAGATTATTCTGTTTGTTCCCTTCTTCTCTGAGGCGGTGGGTTTTTCTTTCTATTGCAGGAAGACCTGTTTCAGCAGCCAGGCTTAAGATCTGAATTTCAGCAAATCCGAGACTGCTTGGATACAGGAATGCTCGATACTCTCCGTATCCTTTTGGAACTAATGTTCAGTGAGGCTGGTTTGTGTGTCCTGCGCTGGAACCACTTGACAGTTGGAGCCTCAAGCACCCGAGTGCTCCATTACATTGTATTGTCCCTTGAACTGTGTTAATTGCAATGTGTTTCTGTAGCACTGATTGTAAGGAGTCATGATGTCTGCCAGACCTTTGGTAAGTAGTCATTGCAGGATGAGCCAGCCCAATACTAGAGACAATTTGCTTCAGTACTTCAGGGGAGGGAGGGAGGGAGAGGGAGGGAGGGGGAGGGGGAGAGAGAGAGAGAGAGAGAGAAAAAAAAATCATATCGGTCATGTACTCTAAAACATTGCTAATATATACAATATAGAGTATCCAAAACCAAGTACATCTTTCCCTGGGGAAAGGAGGAGAGAACACATGACAGAGGCTAGTCACATTGCTTAATATACTTCCGGAAAGCATTCAGATCCTAGGGAGAGGTGTGTGGTGTAAGAAGATCTATAGAATAGTGACAGGTAAATGACAGGTACAAATGGTCCCAGTGTTTGCTATGTGGAATCAATCAGGATAGTACAAACTCTGCCAGCTATGAATACGTTCAGGAGCTGTGGTGAGACCTCACCAGTGATTAAAGGTTCAACAGAGATGCTAACAAACCAGATCACTGCACTACCTTTTCCTTTAACCATCATCGGGTCAGTTGGCAGTAACCATTCAGTAGCTGAGGCCCTGCTGCTGTTCTTGGAAAGCCTGCCAGAGCCTGTTATCTGCTGCCACCTCTACAACGACTGTTTGCATTGTGCTGGCAACTACACACTGAGCAGCCAGGTAATGCAGGCATTACTGCAGTGGGTTAACATAAAGCCTTAAATGAACATGGAGTTTGGCTGATCTGTGCCAGACAGATAATGGGCTCAAAACCCAATGAGCTTACAGGGTCATTGCTAGAAAGTACCTTGAATGGGGGCTCCTGGTTTTTATTAGATGTCATTAAGGCTTGTGTCTTGTGTAATTGTATTGATGCTTTGAGCGTATAAGTCTTCTCTAGGTAATTTTTCACAGTAAAGTTCTTACTTTGTTTTCAGGTTGTCTCCAGGCTGCCCACGTGCCATAAAAATGTGTTTAACTATCTGATGGCGTTTTTACGGGAACTACTGAAAAATTCAGAGAAAAATCACTTGGATGCGAATATTCTAGGTAAGATGAACCAAGCAACCTGTCTGCTCTACAGAGGCTTGTAGTAGTTTATAGAACAAGCCATGTGCCTCTCAGAAATTACTGCTTTAGTGGTCCTTTGCAGTCTGCTGTTTTTGGTGCCTGGTATGCAACCTGGCAGGAAACAGACTTCTGCTAAGAAAGCGAATATGGGGCATTGTCGTGCCAAAAAACAGGCCCTATTGGCATGAAAAACATTAGAAAGTGCTACTGAAAAAAAGGGAAAAATTGTGATGGCCAGCTTTGCACAACTACATCCTCCTCCTCTCTCACCCATCCCCAAGTGGAACTCAGATGCTCCCCAGATTTATTTTGGGAAGAATTATCATTGACCCCTGGATGTTAACAGGCTTTTATTGTGTGTCTTTTTCATGCAGCTAGTATATTTGGGGGCTTGTTGCTGCGTCCTCCTCCCCGACATCCTAAGCCTGATGTAACTGAGAAGAGGAAGGCTCAGCAGTTTATCCAGCAGTTCCTCTTGAGAGAAAGCAACTCGCCGTGAATTCCAGATACAGCTAATCTGGTTTTTAGATGAAGCTATCAAGTTACTGTAAAAAGACGTCTGTACAGAGCATCACCTCTTTAGAACTTTACAGTATTTTACTCCGAGTACAATCCATTGATATTAAATACAGATCAGGCACATAGAAGCAGTTGTCACTGTATTAAGATGTAAAGAATATTGAATTTTTAAATGTGATGTTTTTTATAAAAGACTCAGAGAACTGACATTTTGTATTATATTTTAATTATTTAACTTGTATTAAAATCTCCATTTTAAAGTTCCTTTTATTTAAATAACAATGCCATCTTAGTGCACTTTCCCATCCCACCTTTCGGCTTGAATCCCTATTGGCTAGACTGGATGTTTGCTGTTCATTTTAATTAAATCCCATCCATGAAATATCAGGAGGCACAGAGACGTGAGCTGCAAAACATGAATTCCCACAATTCTTGCTAACATTGCGCAAACTGATCAGTAGATCGCTTAGGATTTGGTTCATGCGCGTGCAAATAGGCAAATAAGTTTAACAATTCTATATGTAGGTACAGAGACTGTGGAAAAAACTAGGCCTGCCAAGCAATTAAAAAAATTAATCACGATTATTGCACTGTTAATAGTATAACACTTAAAATAAAATATGTAAATGTTTTTGGATATTTTCTGCATTTTCAAATATATGGGTTTAAATTACAGCAGAATATAAAGTGTACATTGCTCACTTTATTTTTGACTAGAAGACTTACCTGGCATTGCCAGCTTCCTGCCCTGAAGGACCTAGGCAGTGTTGGGAGTGCAGGAGTCAGTGCAGGGCCTTGGGAATGTGGGAGGGGGCAGTGCAGGAAGCTGGGGGCATAGGCTAGTCCGCTGGCAGGCGTGATGGTAGAGCCCCAGCCCTGTTGGCCACTTCCTTGGGGGTACAGTTGTCTCCAATGGACACTCTGCAGGCTAGCTCTCCCCTGCGGGCTCGCTGCCCCCCAGTGAATACTCTCAATATTGTATCCTTCCAAACAGTTCCCCTCTTTCCATGTTATGGAAAACAGTCCCTTTCCTGAGGCTTCCGGTTGTCCTGGCACAACCAAACCTTGACCTTGCTTTAAGTTAGGAGAAGATGAAGCTGCATACAAAATTCAGTGGTCCTTGCTCTTTGGCTACATCTACACTGTAGCCTTCTTACGGAAAAGCTTATGCAAATGAAGCACAGAGCAGAATATCGCTGTGCTTCATTTGCATAATTAATTACGGGCTGTTTTTGCGCAAGAGGCTTTTGCACAAAAAGGAGCTGTGTAGATAGCTCCTTCTTGCACAAAAACCCCCTCTTGCGCAAGAGCCGTTCTTACTGAAAAAATGAGTTTCTGCATTGAAGTGTTGCTCTTTTGAGACTTCTGAAAAATATTCCATAATTCCTGTCTTAGCTTTTGGAAGGCACATCAGATTCTTAGATCTTGGGACAAGTGCTCTAGTTATGTTTAGAAATCTCATATTAGTATCTCTTGTGTGTTATCTATCTGCAGTGAAAGTGTTCTTAAAATGAATGTGTACTGGGCATCAGAGACTTCAGTAAATGGAAATATATGGCAGAATGTAGGTAAAACAGAGGAGTAGACCTACAATTCCCCCCTCTTCAAGGATTTCAGTCACATTTAATTATGCATTATTTGTTAAGTGTCATCAGTATTGAACTATGTTCTCTGGAATGGTGGCCAAAGCATTAAGGGGCATATGAACAATGTAAATACCTTGCAATACCAGCTACAAAAGTGCTATGCAAACACCAATTTTCACTTTCAGGTGACACTGTAAATAGGAAGCTAGCAGCATTAACTCTCATAAATGTAAACCAACTTGCTTCTCTAAGGGTATGTCTACACTACCCTCCTAATTCGAAATAGGAGGGTAATGTAGGCATACTGCAATTGC